GACATAGACTATATAGTAGATAACGTCATGGTTCCTCATTGCCCCAGAATGCATTTAACAAAGTACATTAATTCCCATTAAACGTTTCACGTTGCCTAAAATCATCGATTATATGTATAATTTGGATTCTATATAGAACGTCACTTTGCAGTAGGTTCAAGACACTTGGAGAATGTTTTGCTTTGATTTGTAACTTATTATGAATGTACGTACAACGTGATAACTAATAGTTATATTACCGATCAGATGCGCCTAAAGAAATGCTCAAAGAAATACTCTATACAATGGTATAAAAATCGAAAAAGAATCATTATTTTCTTCCCCCAACGACCTATCATATAATATTATAACCAAACAACCAAACACTAGTCGGATAATAAAATAATATATTAACAATGAACGTAAAAATCAAAGAGGTCACTTGGCTTTATAGTATTTACGTCAATGAAATATAATATACTCTAAGAGCTAGATTGTGGTCTACACCATAGTGGATTGTGATCTGTGGATCTGTTTAAGTTTGATTGAAATTTAAAAATAAATACCATTGAATGAAAAACGATTCCTAGTTGAAACAACATGTATGTCAGCGTTCGATCACTATTTCAAAGGATACTTTATAGTTAATTTATAATACTAATTTTATTACTAATAGTTCTTTTTTAGTAATATTAGATATTTGCATGTTGAACTATTTTTTACCGGAAAATATTGTACTCGTATTATATCATAATATCATGAGTTATTGTTGTAATGTTATGTCATAAATTATACAAGAAGTACTTATATCTTAAAAATCAATATATACCTTTGTATGCCATATACTATGTCTATGTGTACTCTTTATCAATACAACATATAGTTCAATACATATAGGTTCATGGTGTACGTAAATAGATTAAATGCAATCTAAATATTTTGATAATTTCATTGTAGGCTGTAAGGATAATTGAAAATATGTTGTCATTTTGAGCTGATTAACACCTTTCTATGATACGTCGATATCTACTGATTTGTAAGTTAAATTTCAATAACAATAATATAACTAATAAGATACTATGATATTATATTATGTTATACGTGTGAGACTTAAATCTACTTCTTATAGCAGTTTATGCTTTCATATGGTTAATAAAATAGCCATTTAAATAAATTATGAAACATAATTTTATAATTAACAACAGTTTGATGTGAATATTATCCGCCATGTCCATTATATTATGAAACGCGTGCTGGCCTCTACCGCTGCCGATGTGAAGCGAATGATCGTTCTGTTACAGGAAATATTATTTAGGTACGAATCCATCGAGTTGCTGTTGTTAATACGAGTATCATGAGATATTGAAAAATGAATCCACGACATCAATGTTTCTAAAATGCCTATCCACAACGCCGGGTGACCATTAAATTATTTATTAAATCTCAAAACCGCTGTTAAGAAGACTTATACATATTATACTCCACCAATACCATCTTCAGAACTCATTGACTATAGTGATTTCATACTAGTGATTTGTACCAATGGTCATTGGTCACACCGATTACTAGAGTTTATAAAAATAAAACAAAGTATTCTTTAATCCGAACCATAATCTAAGAAGTAAAGCTCTCAAATATCTAGTAGTTAGATACGATAAATATAACCATTAACCAGGATTCAAATTTAAAATCTTATAATACTATTGTACGTATACCTAATACCCGAGGTACTCGTGTTCCCACTTCCAAATCCAAATATTACTATCATCGAATTTTAACAACGTTATCAAAATTATTGTGTTTATATACCGAATAACCGATAGTTCAATGCATTACTTTCATTATCTTAGATGTGGACAACCAGACAACTGACTGACGACCAATAAAAATGATCTTCATCCGAATCATTACAGAGTTTTCACCTTTGTATCGCCATAGTCTATATTTCATTGTAAAAACAATTCTTGAAATATGTCCTTGGTTCTTTTCTTCTGAAGATTCAGTCATTCTCACGGTAAATTCGTTGCCGTGATTACTGAAATCATTATAAATCAATCAATAAATTTTCATTCCGTTTCTGTATTCAATTAATATTAATAATAACTGATATTTTCAATAAAATTTTTATTACAAATAACTCAGATTTCAATAATAATCCTTAACTACATAGACCGCTATAAATGTATAATGATATACAACTTAAACAAAATCATGTAAACATTTAAATCATTTTCAATAAACGATAAATAAAGCGAGAATAAAATTAAAATTAACTTACCTACATAATATTTTATACATTAGACACGTAGAAATTCAATAATTTCAAAATGTACTTTACACTTGTATATTATAACTAGGGTCCGGAACAATAATCTAAAGACCTTTAAAAAATCCACTCAAAAAGTATTAAAATTACTTATAAACATCAAAAAATGACTTAAAAAGTTACCCTAATTTTACCAAAAAATAACATAACATTTTCAAAAATGACAGTTTTTAATAATAAATTTAAAAAAAATCATCGTTTTTAAATTAATATTTTTTAATCATTAATTTATTATTTTATGCATTTGAATTTAAACAATGCTAATATTGCTAATATTTTTATACATTAAATATGGCTTTTTTTACAGACTATGGGATCTAAATTAAATTTAAAACAAAGATAAGAAATAATGTCAGCAATACAAAATAATTACAAGGAAGAAAACGACATTATAAGAAAAATAATTGAAAGATTGGGCTGTAAAATACGTTAAGTTTTTTTTCAAATATTTAGTTTTGTTAATAAAATATTTTTTAAAAAATCCATCAAAATCAGTAAAAAAAATGACCGTATAATTAAAATTTACCGAAAAATGCAAAATAAAAATGTTTCCATTGAATTTTACATAATATAATACTTTTATATTAATATATTACTTTTCTGTAAATACAAGCCTCATATAAACGTATTAGAAAAAAAGCTGCAAATTCATTAAGTTACGGGCCCTAATCATAAAGTAGGTATATAAAATTAAATTGTCCGTCTAATAAATTATAAAAATTAAGATAAGAAACAATCATAAAATTTTCTATTGATAATATCTATGTTGTAATTGCAGCAATGAAACGACTTTTATAAACTTATCTCCATCTAATTTCTTCATAAATATACCTTCCGAAGTAGACCATACATAACCGAACAAATACTCTTTAGCGAACAGTTTGGAAACCCAAAATAACTTTCAATTAGTCGTGGTTAACTCATGATTTATGAAGACCAATTTGTCTGAGAACGAACTATAGATTTCATTAGCTTTTAAAAGATAATTAATTTTAGAACGTTTTTTAATTTTTAATAAAATCACATCTTTGACTATTTAATTTTTAAAACGAACGACTAGTTTGCCATTATCATGTTTTAAATTCATTCAGAAGAGATTAATAATTTCATACACCGGTCAATTGACATTTAAAATAGATGATACTTCTTGTATAATATTAGTTTGATTTTCATCTTTCGCCATAGGAATCCCAGTTATTATAATATTATTACCAAACAATTTTTGTTCAATTTAATTATTTTCACATTTTAATACATTTACCTATTTCTCGAGGTTAGCCAACTTTATTTCCAATTGTGAAAACTTTTGATTAATAATTTTAACAGATTCTGATAGTATGTCTAATTCTTTACTGAACCCATTGATTTTATTAGAACTAAACGACGCAGAATTTTCTAATGCATTTTTTTAGAAAATAATTTGGATATATCACCTGTAATCAATATTATATTTATATTTTCATTACTAGAAGAAAAATGTTTTTTCATTTTTATTAATAAGAATACACGACTTGCATATCCAAGAATGCTTCTCAGATTGCATCATGATAAAAGGGTAACCTAACCTGTCACTTTCGAATTCCTGCCCTTGCTGTTCACTGAATATAAGGATTTTCACTTCCTGGCGTTAGTATAGTCTATGCCTTCAGTACGGTTGTCATGTAGAGTTTCTCTTCAGTCGTCACACAGTTAAAATAGGAACGCCGTTGATCGGATACTGTCAGCCAACCATCTTATTGTCAAATATCAATTCTCTAGGATGATTTTATGTCTATACGATAGTTATTATTTAATCATTTGTTCGTTCAGCCTAAGCGATATAGATTGTTTCTCGGATTTCATTCACTCAACATACATTTTAAGCATACAATACACTGAAGTACAAGTATGTTGCAATGGCTACAAATTATATTATGCCATGAAGATTAGATTTCTTAACCTCCCCCCACCACCATTTTTATCTTACTATCATAATATATTATTATATGATTAACAACATTATTGAAATTTGTGACTCCGAAATTTCGGTTTTTGGAATTATTACTCGAATCAAAATTTTTATGTTAATATTAGAAACATGAAAAATAACGAAGTTTTAAATTTACTTGTAACTGAAAAAATGAATTGACTTCATATTTATAAGACGGCGCTCTATATATGCAATTTTAATACACAACTTTGTAGTATGGATTATGAACACTAAATTATATCTTAGTTGAAATGATAAATTATCTCTTTTATACCAACATATTATGATTTGATACAAAATAACAGGGATTTGCAATCAAATTAACGCAAGACACAAAACTTAAATTGACCTGAAATAATCACATAACAAAAAACCCGAACAATTAAATCTAATAAAACAATTCAACAAATAAATGACATAGGTACTAACTGGCATGAAACTATTTTTTGTAAATTTTTTTAACAATACCTAAACATTGATTAAACATTAAATATCATCCTTTTCACAAAAACTACTAAACTATACTATTTAACTTGAATAACAATCATTTTTAGCTTTTTAATATAATTGCTATAAAACAAGATATTCATAATCAATTAAATCAACTGGCCACTTGAACAATTTATTTCTTTAGAGAAACTAGCATAATTTAAAAATAAAAATTATACTTGTGTTATATTATTATAAAAATATTAATATATTTTTACAAAAGGTATGTAGATAATATTAATATTTTAAATCAGCTTGAAAATAAAAAAAAAATATATATAATTAAAAAATGTATCAGTAAATGTAAAAATGAAGCAATTTTGAATCCTTAGTAAGCATCGCTTACATTTGATAATGCCAGCAGGGTAAAGTATAAACTATCAGGATCTTGAACAACAAATTTTTCTTGGATTAAATTAACTGTATCCTATAATAAAATAAACATATAGTTAAATAATGCATTAATTTGTAAAAATTATAAACTTACTTCAAGCAACGACTCTGGAGTTGTAGATCCATGATTAATAGGATCAAACTTACCGCCATCTAAAATAATAAGTAATTATTCAATTAAATACATTTTAATAACTAATTAATAGATTTCATTCATACCTAATTCATATAAGTTTCCATCTTTGCAAACAAATGCGATAAAGTGATAAGGTGGCACATCTTCTGGATTGGGTGCCTAAAATAGTATATAATTTTAAAATAGTACTGGATTTTAAGTAAGAATACCAATTATAAACAACAAAATGAATTTTATTTTATTTCTAAAACAAATTATACTAAAGCAAAATCCTGATACTGGAATTGATTAGACTTTTAGATTTAATGTTTCTGTTCAACACTAATAATAAACCATCAAACTAAAAATTATTTTTTTTTTTTACATTAAAGTATATAATCTGTATTTTTTAGCACAATAAGTATTTTTAATGATAGAAGAAAATGAATACATGTATTGCTTAAATAAGTACTTGATTGAAAATTGTTTAGTAATCTATTTTCAATTTTTTTTTTTTTTTAATGATTTATGATTAATTAATAATTAATCATAAATTTAAAACCACGGTAATTGAAATTTTTCTAAAAACACATTTTGTTAAAAATGAGTTATATAATAATCAATAAATTGATGAGTAATAGATAAAAAATAACCTATGGTGATAACAAGCTACACGAATTAATGCATATCAAACTAAAAAAAATCTTTGAAAATTGATTAAGTTTACCAATAGAACTAAGTCTTTGTTTTATTTATAATTATAAATTAATAAGAAACAATTATAAAACAATCTTATTATATTATTACGCACATTAAAGAAAATATTAACACTTTTTAAAAATAATAAACAAAGAATTTACCGCAGTTTGTCCTTCAATAGCGATTTCTCTATGAGTATTAATTATATCTTCAGCTTTTTTTAACATCTCACCGCGGTCGCTTGGAGACATATCTTTTCCATCATCCAAAAAACGTTTTAATATACCATCATTTAATATTATCCTAAAATTGTAATTTAATTTTTATTCATAAGTAGGATGACAAGATATTGATAATCGATCTTACTTATCTCTATTGTTAGCAACACTATGAATTAAAGCCATAGTTCCACAAGCATTGTGTACATATTGCTTGATAAAATATATATCATCTGATACTTGTTGACCTTTATCTTTCAATTTTAACTCTTCTTCATCTTTACGTTTTTGATACTGCAAATAAAATTAATAAAATATCATACATAAATATTTAATCATTAGACAAATAAAAATTATTAAATTATTCTTACAGCATCATTGTACGGGAATAACAAAATGACAGAAGCAACTGGTCTAGGAACAATAGCAAGTTCATCCGGCCCGAATCCAAAAATATCACATATTTCCCACTCACTTGGTACTCCCAAATTTTGCAAAAACTAAGACAAATTTATATATTAAACACTATTTATGTTTACATTAATTAATAGACAAATTAAAACTTATAGAACAAAATTAACCAACAGATGGCTAATTAAATAAATTATAGACTATAAAAAAAAAATGAATATTTGTACTACCAATATTTATTGGGTGATTTAATCCTCTGACAAAAAAAGGACAAATTAATGATAAGCATATGAACTCAATAACTAAATTTCACTCATTACTGCTAGTAGAATATTTTGCCACACAAAAGAATATTTGGAATAATTGAAAAATGTATTAACGTAAAATAAAAATATTAACATTATAATAATTTGAGCAATCACATAGGATGATAAATGTAACTTTAAACAGAAAATATTACCATTAAAACAACAAAAAATATTTTGAAAAACATAAAAAATAAAAATAAGACAATAAAAGCAAAACTCAAACTTTTACGTAAGAGAGCTTTTTTGCCGCTAGTTGATATTCCTTTTAATACATATTTCTTCCATTAATAAAAATTTTACAAATGAAATGTTTGGAAAAATAGAGATTCCAAAACCTCATAATGAGGACTACTCTACCTTGTTGTTCACACCTATGTTTATTTCTGTTAGTAAATATTTTTTTTCCAGAGCTCATTTGACATGGACTTTGTTATTGTTTAATTATTTATGAAGCTACCTTAACTTAAAAGTGCTTATTATACTAAAATCCTTTTTTGGCCAACAATAAATTATTTCCTGATAAAAATACAAATTTATTCAATACACTGGAAAATATATTTTAACTAGCAACATGAAATGGATAATTAAATAAATTAAATTAAAATGGTTTAATTTATACCAATTACAGTGCATTGCAACTACAAGCCTTTTAATTTCTCTAACAAAATTTCAAATATTTTACTCTTTACCTGAATAATCAACACTTTCAAAATGGTTTTTAGAGTTATTTCTTACCTTGTTCATCACCTAAAACAAAAATGTACAAATTATTATATTAAACATATATTTGAATAGTAAATTAAAATTATTATAAAAACATGATATAATGATGAGAGTTAGAAACTTTACAAAAAAAAAAAATATTTCTAATTTGTTGACAAAATAGATAGGTTTGTAGATATATAATTTTAAGATTGTTTGAACAATAATTTTAATTACAAGATGTTGGAAAAATATGTGTACATAGAAAATGAAACAATTTTAAAAATATTCACTTTTTATTTACAAACATGTAGGTATATGAACTAAAGTTTAAATGTCTCAATAAATAAAATATAAAAAATATTTGGTAATACTTTTTTCTACAGTTATGTTGGCAGTATTTATGGCTTGATTGATACTACCTACTGGAAAAATTTATTAGAGTATGGTAAACTTCTCTATGTATGTATGACTTAAAATTTATAAGGGTTTTGAATAAGATCTAATAACATAATGAGCTTTATATACTGCTATACAAAAATTTGAATAAAAATTATTCAAGAATCGAGTTGTAATCATCACTTGTTTCACTAATATTTAAAAAAAATGACCAGTCACAAAAATAAAATAAAATGCACTCAAAAATTCAATACCTACAGTAAAATAAAAGCTAACCTAACCAGTAATTTACCTAATAATATGAGAGATTTCCATTAATATTTATATCATAAATTTACTCACCGCCGGGTTGGATTCTAAAGGTATCCAAGACATTCTTACTCTTTAGAAACTCGAGACTTACACGAAATAAAATATAGTATGCAGGTACCTATTCAAAAAAAAAAAAAAAAAATTAATAGATGGAAATAACAAAAACTATATGTCTATACGATAAGAACGAATTGACTAGGGTAGAAAGTTTAAAATCGAATTACTAGAAACTATTGTTACTGCCAAGACGGTATCGTACAAGAAAAACGACAAGACTACAACTTTACTGTTCCATCAACGTCAACAGTCAACAGTCAACACTCCAGTTACAAATTTATAATTATTTTAAGATTATTGTTTTTACTTGTTAGTCGGCAAATTTTGTATTATCAGTTATCACGACGTATTATTTTCACTCTACCAGCCCGAACAGTGTAGCCAGATGCGTAAAAAACTCTTTCTCGTTCTTTTCGAATTTGATTTCTTATGTTTTTTTCATTTTTATTTATTTCCGTTTCGTACCTATTCAATGGTTCATATAATATATTAATGTGGCGCAGAGTATGCCTTAAACACGGACCTCATACTATATAGGTTTATAAGGTCGACGGTCTCATAAAACAATAATAATCCCCGACTATAAGGTTTGGCCAATCGGAAAATTAGAATTTTTTTCGACCACGCCCACCGAGGTACCGTCTGAAAATTTTCCCGCCGACGGGGCCCGTTTTCGATATCAACGGTTATTATTATTATTTTCGTTATTTTTCGGCTTTTCGCCCGTTATTCCGGCCCTTTGCAACCTTTTTCAGACGCATTTCGTCTTTTATCGCGTAGAGCGTGTCTTTTGCGGACCGTACGTGTGAGTATCGTACGCGAATTCGGTCCGTAGCGGTAACAAAACCGGCCGCCCGTAGACGGCCGTTCGACGTTTTTCTCTGTTTTTTCTTCTAACACGATACAAGAGCAGTTGTGGATGCAGCGCCTCCCCACCACTCTCTAAAGTAGTTGATAACTTTTTTTTTTTTCGCTTTTTCAAAACTTACACGTTTGTTATAAAGTATTTGAAGCGCAGAGGGGTGAAGTTAGGTTATCTGATGACATTTTTTTTCGTTTTATCCATTCTATAGTAAAACTTACACGTATATAAGTTATTTTTAATATTCGCCCTCCCTCTCCCCCGAAATCTCGGGCTGGATCCGCCGCCTACGTGCAGGAGTGGCCAACTTTAATAGATTTGTGATCGACCTCTGAGTTTTTCTATAGATTGTCGCGATGACAAAAAGTATAGGTACCTAGGTATTACATAATGTTTACGATATAAATAATAGTACCTATTATTAACAAATAATTTCACACTACATGTATTTTAATATATTTGATTACAAATTATTACTTTCAACTTATTACCTACTATAACTATACATATACTAGTACTTTTAATTAGGTTAGGTATATCCATCAGAATCATCAGATTAAGTGGTAGGTACGTATTATATACTTATATATGATAGTTACTCGATATAAGGTCATTATAGATATAAATCCATTTTTAATTTTTTGGAATGCTACGAATAAAATAAATACCTACTTTAATGACCTTATTTAAATCAATGATGTTTTCTCAAGTATCCCAGTTGAGAGCAGTTGAGAGTTAGGCAGGTACCTAAAAAATTATTTGGACTAAAATTTATCGATTATAACTTCAACAAGGAATTGTTATACTTCCAAATTTATCAATCACCATCTATTATTTATATAATGCTATAATTTGTTATATTATTATATCTTAATGATAAATAAAATACTTAATTACACTTTTATAAAATAATTGAGTATATCAATAATCTTTAACAAGAATAATGATTGATGACATTTATAAAACTTATAGATAATTATCATGCGTTATCATTATAAAAAGTAAATGGAAAGTGAATTCAGGATTTGATTCGCGTTATGTATTTTGTCAATGCCATACAAGAAAGTAACACAACACATAAAAATACGAATAAAATAATTAAAAAATGAATACTTTAAATAAATGCGAATAATTAATTTTAATTTTAAAAAAATCTACAATAAACGTTTTATGTGGTTATATATAAATTAATATTCTTAGAAAATATAACTTTATAATAATATTATATAATTTATAACGTTTCGCATGGTTCAAATAAAAATTTCACATTTTTCAGGTTTTAAAGTCAGGTATAATAAAATTAGCAGAATACTTACTGATTTTAAATATCTATCTATAATATTATTGTTTCTTTCTTACTAATAATTTTAGGATTTGAAAAAATGAATTATGCATATGTAATATTTTTGATAAAAAAAATATAATATATTACAGTTAATATAATTTCATTCGATCATTAAATTAAAATTTACCGCAGTCATGGTAACTACAGTAATTTATACTATTTTCTCATAGTTGTTATTTTTTAAGTTATAAGTATTAAAATAGTATAATTACAAAAATGACTTGTACACTTATGTTTAAACAAAATATTTTTTAATTTATAATTTACAACTTGAAATATACAATAGTAGATAATGCTTATAGTTTTTGTTTTGTATATAATACAATAATAAATAATACATGATAAAAACAATTAAATACAATATAAATTTGTTTTTATAATAGAAAAAATAATAAGAACATTTGCAAAAAATATTAAGATTCATAGAATATATAGTACATAAAAATTATGGTAGAAAATTTGGTACAATATAAATTTGTTTTTATAATAGAAAAAATAGTAAGAACATTTGCAAAAAAATATTAAAATTCATAGAATATAAAGAACACAAAAATTTGGTACAATTAAAAAATAAATTTGTGTTTGTAATAGAAAAAATAGTAAGAAAATTTGCAAAAAAATATTAAAATTCATAGAATATAAAGAACACAAAAATTTGGTACAATTAAAAAATAAATTTGTGTTTGTAATAGAAAAAATAGTAAGAAAATTTGCAAAAAAATATTAAATTTCATAGAATATAAAGAACACAAAAATTTGGTACAATTAAAAAATAAATTTGTGTTTGTAATAGAAAAAATAGTAAAAAAATTTGCAAAAAAATATTAAAATTCATAGAATATAAAGAACATAAAAATTATTTAGAAAATGTGTCCATAATACAAAAAAAAAAATGAATGGTTTGATTAACCGTAAATTTGTCGCTATTGTATTATATTTGAAGCTATTGTCGAATCATTGGGTAATCAGGAATTGTCTTGTCCATCATCTGATTTTGTCTAATAAAATTTAAAATATAAAAATAAATAAATATATTTTAATGAAATAGTGTAAATTTGTACAACTATACAATATAATATACACACTTTTCTGGAGCCTGTAGATTCATCATTAGAGTCATCATCAGAGTCATCATCAGATTCATCATCAGAGTTATCATCAGAGTCATCATCAGAGTCATCATCAGATTCATCATCAGAGTTATCATCAGAGTCATCATCAGAGTCATCATCAGAATCTCCGTAGTCAACGTCGAGAGTAAATAAATATTTCATCTCCTGACTAGTCGAAGACTTAACTGAGAGTGGACTCGAGCTCGTCTAATTGAATTGAAAATATAAAAAAAAAAAATACAAATAAATCTATACTTCTATATAAAATTGAAAGGGGTGTTCTACGACCGCGCTAACCGATAAAACTACTGAACCAATTTGGCTAAAATTGTTTACTATTAAACCTGATAGTCTGTTGAAGGTTTTAGTACCACTTTTGTTTATAAAAAAATAAAATAAATTAAGAAAAATAATAATTTTTACGCATATCCAATATTATTATTAAAGTTATTGTTTTTTAACCATGGTTACCATTAAAATCATAAAATTTGAATAAGAAATTCTACATATTAATATATCATCATCCGAAGGTAAAATAAACAACCAATCACGGATGAAGCCGTGACGGGTCGGCTAGTATTATATAAAAATCATAGAACGAAACGAAAATATGTAATCTTAACTAAATGTTTTATATTTCAATGGAGGTTCTAATAATACGATATAATTTTTAAAGTCATCAGCATATAATAATGACATATTTCGCGATTTGAAAAATTGAATATAATTTATGAGCAAATTATATAAAAGCAGTAAAATATCTGAACCTCTTCGAGGAAAAGTTTATGTTACAAAAATTAATCTGGTTAACAGTAATGTCTGTATTTAACATATTTTTTCCTATTTAATATAGAAGTGACTAATTATTGTGTTACGAAAACCTATATATGTTGTAGTTTTATAAAAATTTGAAATGATCACTCTTAGGTATTGGTATAAATAAATCTAAGAAAAATAAATTTACGTACAATTGATACTGTGTCGTCAAAAATATCATCTTCCACCGTGGTACCTGCAATGTCATTATTTGGAATGGTCCGCTCTTCATTGTTCCAAAAATATGATTGAGAAATCTCCGGATTACAATTCCAAGCGTACACGTTTTCCAAATATCCAGTAGTCTATACGGGTATAAATAATGTATAAAACATTTTCTGACTTTTTTAAAAAAAACAAAGTCTAAAACTTTGTGTCTAAAGAAAAATATATTTATGTATGGATTGACTTCAGAAAAGAAGAAGGTATTTTTGAGTTATTTAAATGTATTAAGATCAAGAACAATTATTACGTGGTTAAATCGAGGTCTACATATTACATTAAAAAACAGCAACTTCTCCTTGTTTTTCGTTGGTTAATCTTTTAAAAAAAATAATTTTGGAAATTTTATTGAAAATTAAAAGGAAAAATATCATAGTTATAAACTATAATAATAAATTAATAGCCAAATCTGCAGAGACTATCTAATAAATATAGGTAGGTACTAGGTACTGTACTTACTGGGTAACTGAACTCATCGTCCAAAACTCCTTCAGCATAATCTTGTGGATAGCCTTCTACAGGACTTCCTACTCCAAAACAACTCTTAAATGAAGAGCCATCATCTTCGTTATCGCCCAAATTGCCCGATGATACACTATCATCGAGCGAATTTTCTGTAGCGTATATCATAACAATTAATACTTAACAATAAAATTAAACGTTAACTTGTACACTTACTTTTAACATAGTAAGTTCTTAATTTTTTGTTGATTTGAACATTATCATCGTCATCAACTAACGAGTGCTTACGTTTATTCTCCATTGTGTATATAAAGTACGTAATCAAAAAATGTTTTACAATTCTAATTAACAAATGTAACACAATTGTATTTTTTTTTCAGATATGATCAGATAGAATTGCAAAGTTAAACTGAACCATATATTGTTTGTATTTCACGCCGAAACCGTCCCGTCGGCAGTCTCCTTGGTTGCGTGTTATTTTATTTTCAGCCATCCACAAAATAAACAGTTTTTGTCGAATTAATTTTATTATGCATTATTTTTTACATAGATTCGCGTTCATAATAAAAATCATTATATTTGAATCACGGGCAAATAATTGTATAATTACATTTAACATTATTTATATGCGTTTTCTTTATACATATTGTTATTGACTATTTTTATATGCCCCAACGAAATGCAGTTATTAACTTAGTATAAATATTTACATTCTATTGATTTATGCATTTCGATTGTTTTTTTAAATCTTAAAAATGATCCGCGTACAGTTTTGTATGTTAGCTAATGCTTTAATGATTAAACATTTGAAGGATTTAGTTGTTTTTGTAAAAACACACCACTTTTCATCTCTTATACATAATCTAACTGTATGATATTGGCGGTCGCTATTTCTACTATAATCCAGCTGTTTGACATTTTCACTTATACTTTTATCGCTAAACTATTTAGTTACATTTATGTACTTATAGTATAGGGCATAGGCTACGTCATAAACAATTCACCATCGAGTACCTATATAAAATAAATATAAGTTCATCTATTCTATAATCAACCTTATTCGTATTATTGTACTCCTTAATTTATTATTCAATTCGATTAGGTATACATCATTACATTATTTAATAGGATAACCACTGACCATATATGTCCTATTTAAAACGAGATTGTTCCTTTTTTTGATCACCATGTCCCGTTGTCCTGACAAAGTCTAAACGGGACGCTGTTTATCCTGTTTTTAAAAGATGATATCGTTTAAATCCCATTATTTCAATATTATTAATTAATTTTTGTAAAAAAAATATCAATGTATTAGAAAAATATAAAATAATTTTAAAAAGAGCAACATTTAATTATTATTTATTAATTAGGTATTATTTTATTATATTTAAATAAATTGTATCTTATATATAATTGGAAAAAATAAAAATTTATCATATTAATACAAAATTGTTTGTCCCGTTTTTTTATTTTTATAAAAATAGTCACCCTATTATATTATTATATTCAACAAACAATATTTTATAAGATGCTGGAAAAATACATTCTTCTCAGGAATGTAGCTAAATGGCCTATTCAGGCCGCCGTATTTTTATAATAATTTTATGATATAATATTAGTTTTGGTCTATTGGTCAATTCAATAAAATCGTGTCGTTACCATAACATTAGACATGCATTTTCATAAACATTATTGGTATTACCAGTGAATTACTTATTATTGTCGATTCTATTCAATAAAAAACAATGAACGCCATCACACTTTATGTCTTGCATATAATTTACATGAATTTATACGTTTTTATAAGTCACCTTGCTTACTATCGGTAAAAATAAGTCACTTCCTACACAGGGTCTTTCTCGAATACCCTAAAATCTGTAAAAATGACGTCAGCTTGACTTCTTCTCGAGGCATTCAGTGACGAACGACGTAAATGCAACACTACTAGTTAAAGTGGACTTGCTAGGCCTGAACCCTTGTGGTTCTCCAATAACGATACGGTTATAGGATGGACCTTACTGTAGAAAATTGGTTATTTCTCCAGATTTATAAAAGGAAGTAGCGGAATCCGTTTTCCAAACATCAGGTGGATGATATTTTTGTCAAAATGATTTTTTTAATTTTTTAAAGTATAATAATATGAACATTTTCAATTATTTGTTATCATTTTAAAAACTTTTGGATCAAATCGAGCGACTAACTTCATCTACGCAGTTTCTGCTACTTTACCAACAAGAATCAAGACTTTTTCGCCGTGGTCATTTCAATTTTACTTTGCTATATTTATCGCACGTCGTTCGTATCGGATACAATTTGACACATGTCATTGCATCGATATTCATTACTTTGGTCAGTACATAATTAAATCAATCATTATAATAATTCATAATCAATAATAATTATATTTAAATAATAAATTATGAAGACTAGCTGATCGTACACACGTCGTCGTTAACACCGTCGCACGGTCATTAGCATTTACCTACTCCTCCTCCGCCACTACCAATTTCGATTTTAGCAGTTTTTGGACCGCCATATCACTACCTCCAACGCCTTCAGTGATGTTCAGTATACCATCAACTCGTAGTGGGGCCAAAGAGACAGCGGCTAGTCTGACTCGGACGGCTGTGCTTGATAATACTACACCGACATACTTTAAAATACCAATAACATAAGAAATACTTAAGTCTATCGTTTATTAAAACCATCCAGCCAGGAGAAGGTCGGTAAAAACTTTTCGACGAAGTAATACCAAACGTCGACGAACTATGCTGTCAATGCTAATGATCGTACAACGATGCTAACGACGACGTGTGTACAATTAGTTTTCATAGTAAATGTTTTCTGTTAATGAAACAGCAGCTTCCAAGTTCAGTCTTGTCGACGACAATGTTTGATAAGAGTAATTAATTAATTCTAATAATATGTACAGGTTTGTCACTTCTACACACACGACATAAGCATAATAAAATTAATCTGATATTTTCCCCGCAATTACTTTCAAGGATTCCAATTTGATTCTTCAATTTGCCAAACTTGCTATTAGACGTTTCGATGCTTCCTAAATGATCGTTTGTGAAAATTTAATGCTTGATTTCATAATCCTTAAGTAGGTATACTACTTTCTATAAACGCGTTATTTGAGTTCTTAGGTCGTTGATATTTGCAATCAACTTGTTCAAATCGTTTTACAAAATTTTCCGAGACGTGGTAAAAAAAAAAATTATGCAATCTGACCCCCGAAATATTAAAAAAAAAAAAAAACCTTTTCCCGTTGAACAAATCGCCCATATTTTTTATTACACTTTCAGAACTTTATATTATGTGCAATAATAATTTGTAAAAATCTACATAAATATTTTTAAGCCTCGTCATGACATTAGACAAAAGCTTGTAGTATATGTATAACTACTTTAAACTACCTTAGTGGCGTATTTAGGTTTTTGTCATGGGCGGGATATGACTTTATATGCGGCAATTACCAACTCGAGGGGGCTACCCATATGTATTACCCACGAATTAAGCAATCCTAAATGACCTAAACCGTGGTATTACTTAAGTATTGTAAAAGATATACAATGTTTTATGTTTTACATACCTATACCAAATGAAGATACCAATGTGAATATTGTACAATTTATTATAATATTTTAATTCTTGCAAGTTTAATCAATTATTAGTAAAAAAAAAAAAATAATAATAAATAATAATAATAATAATTTTTTAAATAATATGACTATAATAATTATTTGTGTGTATACAGCCTATAGGGGGATTTATCCCCTTGATCCCGCCACTGTTAGGTAGTTAAATAGATACCTCCTAGTTATAAATTTTTTTTTTCTATTATCAAAATTATAATTCTTTGAAAATTAATTATTTTGAATAGTTATGTATGTGTTTTACGTGATCAATCTACTGATGTTTCAACTTATTTATCATTTATCAAAAACTTATAATTAATAATTAATATATAACTTATATTATATTAAATAAATTAACTATATTAATTAACTTATATTATATAACTTATTATTTATAAAAACTTAACATTTATCAAAAAATGTAAAATAACTAATTAATATAATAATATCGGTAAGATTATTCTAATAACAGTGAAATTGGCCAACAGTTCCTCATCGTGCTATTAGCATTATTTGATCATAATAAACATATTTTTTGTTTTTATTACAAGTAGATGACATTTTTATATGATTATATTATATTGTATAGAAATCATGTATTGGATTTTTATTGAGAAGGAACTTATTTGAAAAAAAATAATATTTTCATATTTTAACATGTAAACAACTTTTGGACCCTACTCATAACAATATTATACTTTGTTAAAACAAGAAATCTAGTCATCGGCAATCAGACAATGCCCGTTTGTTTATCCCAAACGAGTCAACCTTCCGTGTAAAGTGACCACAACTCCCTTGTGAAACAGTAGTCAGACTATGTTTTTTTTTTTTTTTAAACATAGTATAGAGAAATACAATTAATCTTAATTTTAATCACCTTTTAGTTATATTTGAAATTCATAAATATCTAAATAAAATAATAACCATTTGAGTTTAATTAATAAATTGTTTTATTGATTGTTACCAAATCTTAATTTATTTCTAAATTTCTTTGGATTAATTCCGTATGCCTTCAATCGGTCATCCGTCATTGATTCTAAAGCACTAGGTTCTTTATGAGGTTTGTACTTTTTAACTGAAAACTTTTGTTTTTTATGCGATCCATTCTGATTCTCAGCATGGTTTAATTTTCGTTTTTCACCCTTTTTAATAGCTTTATTTTTATTTTGAGTAAAACCTACATCACTATTTTCAGTTTTTTTGACATTCTTAATAATTTGATTTTTATTCTGAGTCTGATCTATTTTACTGTCTTCTGCTTTCTTAATAGTTTTAATTACTGGATTACTCTTAGTATTTTTCATAAACTTGTTCTTATTTGTTAACTGTTTGTTATCATTTCCTTTTTCATTCTGAAGATCGTTATTATTTTCAGATAAAACTTCTTCAACTTTAAAAACATTAGTTATGGGTTTCTTTTTCTTTTTCTTTTTCTTCTTATTTGTGGTTGCTGTTTCTTCACCTTTTTCTTGTGTTTCACTAACCTCATTAACTCTAAAAAATAAACAAAACATACATTCAACATACATTATAAGTAATATATTAGAATTCTAGATACTTTTTAATATTATCTACTATACAATTTAACTATATTTAAAAGTTTATTTTTTAGAAGTAACTATTTCAGTTATGGAAATACAAAATATAGAAAGATAAAAATTATTAAGAATAACCTATTTATTAAAAATTTAAAAACATACTCTTCTTTAAAAAGGCTAGGTAACATTTTCTTTTTTAATTCAATATCTTTAGCTTTTCGTTTGTAAATCTTAGCTTCAAATTTTTGAACAGCTTCAGGTTGAATTTTAGTCAATTTGCCCAGAGGATACCACTTATTAAGCTCATCATCATCAGCTCTCAAAATCTAAAATCACACACAATTCAAAATAAAATATTTTAGTAACATTTCTATTATTTTCATAATACCTCGTCAATTGTCAGGCCATAATCATTGGGAAGAACTTTATTATAAGTAAATCGGGTTGGAACACCACTAACAATATCTTCACAGTCTAAACTGTAATATTCATCAATGTATTTTTCAAATGATCCATTCGCTGGATTGTATTTTGGTATCTTTTTAGTATGATTGGTTTCTACATCATCTGCATCCTCATCAACTTTTAATTTCTTTTTTTCTTTACGTTTTGCAGCCCTGGTTTGTTTTTTGGCTCTCTTATCCATACTTGGATCATAATCACAGTCCATCTAATAAAATAGAAATATAAATATTATACAATAACAAATAGAAATAATTTTTTAATTGAAAATATGGTAATTTATTTTTAATTATTTTAGTAAATTAATAAAAATCAATTCATTTACAATAAATTCATCCTCTTCTTCATCAAACACTGGTTTCTCATCATCCATTTTATCATAAAATTCTTCATCGAATAACTCCTGCATTTTACGATCATATTCTGTAGGATTAAAATCTTCTTCTAATTCAGTATCCTAAAATATCATAGTTAACATATTAGATCACCTGAATAATTTAATAATATATTCATGATATAATAAACAAACCTCAAATCCTACACGTTTATTTCCAGTTAATTCTTGAAGTTTTCTAATTCTATCAACAATTTCTTTTTTTTTAAGCTTTTTAAGTTGTTTAATTTCCAAGGACCTCTTTTCTAATTCTTTTTTTTTTCTTTCAGTTAGTTCTTCTCGCTTCTTTTTGCGTTTATCTTCTTTACGTCTTAAAGAATTTTCCATAGTTCGAGGATAAGTTTTGATCTGAAAACAAATATTTTTTAGTCCAAGAAAGTTACTTAATTGATTGAAATCAGCATGTATTTTATTAGTCTTACTTTCTACTCATTACACAAACATATTTATTATTAAATTTTTTATGAACGCTAATAAAGTAAAATAATACTTTAATATCTTCTCAACTTTTAAATTATTGTATTACTTGATAGATAATGTAAAAGACAATTTTAAATGTATTAATTAATCAAGTAACAAGGTCTATAGTCAAATAAATTTAAAAAATAATATATTTTAAGATGTTTATAACAATTACTATTCATCAACGATAACACAAAAATGTGGTGAAATCAAAACTAACCAATCTTAATAGTTGTTTATATCTATAAACAAAATGTGGTATTAAATATCATAATCAAACATCAACAAACAAAATATTCTATAAAAAATTTAAGAATAATGACTCCTTCATCAACAGTGATGGATATATGATAAACATTAAAACATTATATAAATTTAGTTATTTTCTTACAAATTCTTTATCTGGTTCTTCAAATCTAAAATTATATTTATGTTCAAATTCTTCATGTTTCTCAAGCATTTCATCTTCTTCAGAAAATCTCATTTCATCTTCTATTAAACTTTCTTCTTTTGGTTTTTCTAGAAATCTAATAAATATAAATAAATAATTAATAGTAAATATACATATCAATATATTGGCAATTAATTAAAAAAACTACCTTTTATTAAGGATATAATCACATAAAAACTGTTCTCCTTCATCCAAATTAGGATTGTTCCAGTAATCATGTAAGTGTTGAAGATCTTTTTTAGTTTCTTCATCTTCGAGTTCATCTCGATTTCCTTTTAACCATTCTAAATAATCTTTTTCTTCTTTTTCCTACATCAATGATACTATTTACAATTATTTTGATAATAAGATTATCAGTTTACACACTACGTATTTTTCATATTATCAATATTTTTATGTTAAGTTTAATATAACAAATCAATTTTATTATCTTAAAATTCTTTTCAATTTACCTGTTCTTCTTTAGTCTTAATTCGTGGCTTTAGTATATCTTCATCGTCAGAATTATCATTAAGAGCAAAGTTAAAACTTTCTTTAATAGCTTGTTGTTCCTCTACATAAGAGGGTGATGACATTCGACTTTTTTCTTTCTTAAGGACATCTAAATTATAGAATAAATATTTTAACTAAATTCTGCTAAATAAATTAAACTTAACAAAAATGATCTTACATTTCAATAAATATAAAATGTATTATAATATAACCTTAGATGACTTAAATTTTTCAAAATTATTTACCATTTAATTCTTTGGTATCATCAAATTCTGGCCCACGCTCTAATAAAATTTTCCTTTTGTATTCTTCTAAATAAATAGGATTTGAATTTTTGTTTTTGCTATCAGCTGATTTTTTGATACTTTGTTGTGTAGCTGACGAGTCAAAAAATTTAACAGATTCATCATAAATCTTGGGATCATCTTTCTTAAGACAAGATAATGCTTTAAAAAAACTTTTCTCGACATCCTCAGTTAATTCCTAGACAAAATCAACAATTGACATGATATTATTATCAATCAATTCAATTTAAAATTTAAATATTGTAATTAAAACACAAACCTTGGCTTCTTCGTCTTCTTCTTCCTCGTCAGAACTCGTGTTATTGTCTTTTGAATTCGATTCAAATGTGTTCATTTTGAATTATTAAGTAGGTACCAACAACAAATTAAAATATCTATTCTGAAAAAATGCAAACAGCAATCAACAATTTTACCCTTTTAAAGTAACGGAAACAACTTCAATTTAGTAAGCTGTAACCTAACCCTATCAACTGTTAGCAGTCGATATAAAATTACTAAAACTTTTCACTTTCTTACTTCTTACTTTTTAGTCCGTGGTCTACAGTCGACGGCCGTGCTGTATGAAGTGTGGTGTATACTGTTATACACACGAGATTCTTTATCATATAAATTTCTTATCACATGTTGTTAACCTATAAAATGTTTAAAAAATGATATCATAGAACAATGATACCCACGTTTAAATAACATAAACATAATATTTTTTTCTTCGTCAAATAATAAATTTTTATCCTTCTTAGTGATAGTCATTTTATGTTGTTTTTAAATTTTTAATGTCAATATACAATACCTATTGCCAACTCGTTGTTTCAGCTCTCAGGTCACATTTCCACATTTTATAGTTGTGATACTAATATTTTATTCTGTGGCCAAAATCTATAATAATTGTGAGTATAACCACAGTATTACAGTTAACAAAAAGATTAATTTTAATATCGTTCTAAACATTTTTATTGGTTAATGCTAAACATTTTTTATACTTTATTTTGTGTAGAAGTTGATCAAAAGCAACAAAATACTTTGTAAGACATAACAGTATTTTATCTATTATGAAATCATGAAGAACGACTGTACCAAACGAGCGAAAGCAACCAAAACTCCCGTTGAAGTATCTGATTCATTACAAAAACTTTCCAAAGTTGTTGATAATGTACGACAGTCAATTGGTAATATTCCTGTTATACCATCTACCAGTGCAAAATCTGAATCGACAGAATTGCCACCTGTGGCTACCCAAATAGAAACAGAAGAAGACATAGAAAAAAAAGAGAGAGAAACATTGTTGAATTATATTTCAGAATGTGTTGCCAGGCAAGAAGAAAAGAAAACATTGAGACAAAATAATCAAGAATGTGTGTTCCCTGATGAGTCTGATATATCTAAACGAGATTCTAGTTTGAAAAAAAATACCGCATTTATTAGAAAGCTTAAAAATTTTCCTCCTCCACAACTTGACCAGTTACTCAAAGACATGAATTCTTTAAATTTGACTAAATATCTATCTGAAGTTGTGTCAGCTCTTACCGAAATAAAACTAAAAATGACAGAAATTGATGCTATGATATTATTATGCACTCAATTAAATACTACTTACTCAGATTTCTCAAAGATTTTCTTTGAGCAGTGGCAAAAAATATTAAATATTAAAAAAGATGACAAAATAACGAATATGAGCAAATTTAGGGTTGATCTTAGGCTATTTGCTGAACTTACATCTGCTGGTATTATACCTCAAAAAGAAGGTCTTGTTTTGCTTGGCAATATATTAACTATTTTGATTAACTCTGATCTTCAAGAACATAATAATTTAAATATCATACTAAGCTTTTGTAAATATTGTGGTGATGATTATGCTGGATTAGTTCCTAAAGAAATGCAAGATTTAGCTGATAAGTTTGATATTGAAATACCTAAAAGTGATATGATTTCTAGTGACAAACAGAAAAATGTAAGAGCATTGTTAAAAGAGTATTATGTATCTTTAAACAATCACATAAGAAGAATGCATAATGATTTAGAATATGCTGAAAAACAAAATGAAAAAATTTTACAAACCAAAGGTGAGTTAAGACCAGAACGTAAAGCTAAAAACGAACAAATGAATGTTACATATCAAAAACTTTATAGTTCCGCTTTAACTTTTGCTGATATACTCAATGAACCAGTCATTATATTAAAAGAAGAAAAAAAGAATAGTTCAACCGAAGATTTGACTGATTCAGAACTAGATATTGCAGGAACATCAACACCATCAGAATTAACTAGTCTTTGGGAAGATGAGGAAACTCAAAAATTTTATGAAGAATTTCCAAATCTTAGTAATTATATTCCTGATAAAAACAAAAAGATTGAAGAACCTGAAGAACCTGAAGTTGAATGTAATACAAAGAAAAGTTTATCAGATATTAAAGATGCTGTGGACGTTGAAGTATCCAATATTGGTACCAAAGTTATATTTGAATCATTTGTAGAACAATTACCAAAATGTGTTAATCGAGAAATGATTGACAATTTGGCTATTGAATTTTTAATATATCTTAACACTAAAAACAATCGCAAAAAATTAGTTAAAGTTTTATTCAGTGTCCCCAGAACAAGAGTAGATCTGTTGCCATTCTACACACGTTTGGTAGCTATTTTAAATCCTTTAATGCCAGAAGTGGCTCTTGAACTTTGTTCTTTGTTAAAAAGTGACTTTAGATATAATGTAAAGAAAAAAGATCAGATTAATATTGAAACTAAACTTAAAGTCGTTCGTTATATTGGAGAAATGGTTAAGTTCAACCTTATGCTTAAATCCGAAGCATTGCATTGTTTTAAAATGTTACTTAACGATTTTAGTCATCATCATATAGAAATGGGTTGTGCTTTATTAGAAACAGCTGGACGATTTTTGTATCGTTCTCCAGATAGTCATCACCGTACCAAGATTTACTTGGAACAAATGATGAGGGTCAAATCTGTTTCAGCCCTGAGACCTGTTTATGTCACAATGATTGAAAATGCTTACTACTTCGTAAACCCTACTGATTCACCAGCAATTATGAAAAAGCAGAGACCTATATTACACGAGTTTATCAGACATTTACTTTATAATGAGCTAAAAGATGCACCTGAAAAAGAGAACATAATTTTAGATCTTCTTAAACAAATGGACTGGGAAAATTGTGCTGAGAAAACTTATTTGATAAAATGTTTGACTGAAGCTTGGAATGTTACTTATCCAATGATATCAGATTTGGCATGTTTAGTTGCTGCTTTTGTTGATTATGATGATTCAATTGGAACACGTGTTGTGGATGGGGTTATGGAAGATATCCGTGTGGGCCTAGAAACAAACTTAGTAAAATTTAATCAAAGGAGAATAGCTATGATCAAGTATTTTGGTGAGCTATATAATTATAGGCTAATAGAAAGTAACGATGTCTTCAAAGTGTTGTATAGTCTTGTGTCATTTGGTGTAGTTTATGATCCAGATTTTTACTCCACATTTGATCCTCCTGAAAATTTATTTAGACTGAGACTAATATGTGTTTTGCTTGACACTTGTGGTGAGTTTTTCAATCGAGGTCCCGGTAAACTTAAATTAGATTGCTTTATTTTATATTTTCAATATTATTTTTGGTTAAAAAAATCAAGTACTACTTGGGATACTCAAAATCCTTTTCCTGTAACAGTAGATTACTTAGTTACAGACATATTAAAAAAACTTCGACCTAATTTGAAGATGAAAAACTGTTTTCTTGAAGCTCAAAAATTAGTTATTCTACTTCAAGAAAGACTTATTCAACAGTATAATCTCAAACAAAACGAAGAATCTCAATTATCAACTATTGACGAAGAAACCGATGATAAACAACATTTAGAAGAGGATGACTCTGATATAGATTATTCAGATGACGAAGATAGTGATGGCACTGTTTGTAGTGATAAAATTCCAATTGAACCTGTTCGTCGTAAAATTGAAGATCCTGAAGACTTTGAGTTTTTAGAATCTTTTGATAAAATGGTCAGCGATAACATACAAGAAAGGACCAAAGAAGCGACACGTCCACAAACAGAAATATCTATACCATTTCATTTAAAAAAATATAGTAAAAAGACGTATGAGCAGTTACAGAATACTAATGAAGATAACTCTGTCAATTTTGTATTGATGTTGAAAAAAGGAAACAAACAAACATTCAAGAATTTGCAAGTACCTGTTGATTCTGAATTGGCATCAAATCTGAAGAGCCAAGAAATGGCTGAACAGGCAGAGTTAAGAAGAGTTAAGCAACTGACTTTGGACATCAATAATAGACAAGAAGAGGAAGATTATAAAGATTTAGCTCAAGTAATGCAGAAACCAATTACTACTGCTTTTAAAGACAAAAAGCCTCTACCAAATAAAGGAACACCAGACGCAGAAACAATATTTGGGAAGAAAAAAAGGTTATCTTTTAAATTTTTCATCTAGTCAATCCGTATGTTGTCCGTATAAAATACAAATTTACTCGTGATGTAGATATTTCTATAACTTTTACTTAACTAGGTTTGTTATCAACCAGCCACAGAGAAATTATAGTAAAGATTAATATGGGATTCAGTTACGGGAAAGGTGAAATAGTTAATACTTTTTATATTTGAAATTGAATTGCTGCCATATAATACTAACATTTATTTTAATATTTAATACAAAAACATTATAATAGAACAAATAATAAATGACAATGATCAAAAAATGACGATTAAAAGATCTTTAAGATATAATCTTTTAATTTTTTTTTTTTTTTTATGTTTATTAGCACATAAAATAATTATATTATTGAACATGTTACCACTGATTTTAAATAATAAATTATTATTATTAAATTTTATTTGAAAATAAGTACAGTAGGTACCATACAAAAAAATGTTGAGTACATAGGGGATGGTTGCCTGGTGATGGGATGATATATTTTGTATGGTGTGGTAGTTGGGCGATAACAAACAAGTACCCTTAATAAAATGGTTTGTATTGAGTTTAAAATCACAATTCAAAACCGTTATATGTAAATTTGTATTGGTGAATATAGTGACAATTATTGGAAATTATTAAATAATTATTACGCACTATTCATGATATCATATGAACACAAACCATATTACAAATTACAATAATATATATTTTAAAATAATTCTTCATATAATATACTGTGTTGATATGCATTCATGAACTGAGCAAATAGTTATGTTCATTATTAAATCTAATGTACTAATTTTCTACTTTTTGTTTTATTTTTTTATCTTAAAGTGACAAGTGGGTTTGATGGATCAAAGAATAGCTCCATGTTTGGTCTACAAAGAGAATGACCCAAAATATTTGTGATATTAATTTAAGGTAAATTTTAAACATAAATATTAGACTATATTTTTAAATATTTTATTTTTTTTTCAGCATTTCCATAAAGAAGTACAAGTAAACAAAATTAATTACCTATATATATATTTATTTTTTGTTCCAATAAAAATAATGTTTATTTTTGTTATAAACTGTATTAGTTTAATATGATAAACATTTATTATACTTTGAATATAATATATTGAACCATGATTCTAATAAACTTTAAATTCAGTGAAGC